GTTAATGTTGTAGAATTATCAACAAATGGGTATAATAATGCCCAAACCATTTATGATGAAACTGGTGAAAGAAAAGTTTTTTTCCACAACTGGACTGAATATTTAAAAAAATATTTTAAACCATTACCAAATATTTTAAAATATCATCATTTTATTTTTAACCAAGAGCAACCAGGAATTGTATATGTTAAAGAAAGGATTGATGGAACATTTAATTTTATAGATATTAGTAAAAATTTAATCATGGATCCTATTTTAGAACAAAAGCATCCTGTAGGTTTAACTCCTGACCGAAAAAAATATATACGTGAAAATGTTATTCAATATGTTCAAAATTCTGATAAAAAAATTTTCTATTTAATGTAAATTATTTAATTATTTTTATTTTATTTTATATTATTACATTATATTATTGTTATTATTTTGTTTGGAAAACATCCCCCTATTTTTACTATAAATATGGAAATGATATACGAATACCGAATTTTTGGGTCAAAATCTCTTTTTTTAGTTATCTCAAAATCATGATTTTGCTGTTAGGTCCTTTTCTATTTTCCGCGCCCCAATATTTGCTCTTTAACTCTTTAATGGCTTCATTTATTACTTTAATTTTTGGTTGTAATATTATAAATTGTACTCTTATTTTACTTTTATTTATTTTTTATTATTGGTTATTATAATTTTTACGTTGCATATGATTATTTTCTCTACAATTCATTTTGTTAATATGTCATGTTATCATGGCTTCAAAATTGGTGCTTATATTACTCCAAATATCATTGCTAACTAAATCAGGACCCAAGGCATCCTTCACAATTGTATTCAACATTTGCAAATGGAAAGATGTAAATCATTTCGAGATGAAACTATCTCATGTTTCCCAAAAAATATATTTAATGAATGTTTTCAGTGAACTTTGAATTGAACATTGAATATTAAATGTTAATTTTGGTAGTTATAATCATGGGTTTTCCAGCAAAATATGGTTATAGATCTCTGACCAAAATTGTGCTTTTTGCATAATACAAAAATCTATATCATAAGGATTATAACTGGTGAAAATTTCAGACCATTTACTTAACAGTCGCAGGACATTGCAGATCTACAGGGGGTCAAGTGTCACTCGCTAATAAAATTTTTTTGAATTTTATATAAAAAAATAAAGAAAAAAAATCACGCTTTCATACACAAACTTGCCTGATTTAATCAAATTGTTACTTGAATCATAACAAATAACA